GACTTCCTTACACACACTCATTCATTGTGCCGTATTGCTCGTAACTATGACCCAAACTCAACCAATTTCTTCAAATTACACTATTAAGGCCTGTTGACCACACACCTCAGTGCATATTTCTTAATCAGGTTCTAAGATTTACACTGTAATAAAGCATCTGCTAACATCGTAACATGCAGAATAAGCCTTCCAATAGTGCTTTCATCACCACAGTGGCTCGTTACATGCAGGTTAGTTTTTTTGATAAATTCAGCTTCTCTCTCTGTCCTTCCTCTGCTTCTCATGGTCAGTCTTGCACATAGGTTTGTAGATTTTCAATCCTCTAAGGATGACACTGTTTTCTTTAATCTGATCAACCGACACATTTTAAATCATTTCAAATTGTTTTGCAAAGTCTTGACATTTCCACAAGTTCAAAATTTTGATACTTATTCAATACCATCTTCCTCAACATTTTACTTCCCATCCTTGAGCTACTTATATTTGCTTCAACCAGATAAGATTCAAGTTTTTCTTTTTTAATTTCTTTTCTGATTCAGCTAATTTAATATTTTTCAGCCTATGCTGAGAACTTTGGCTACATTCTGCTCTCTTTCTGGACAGGAATTAAGCTTTTCTGTTTGCTGCTAATTCATAACACGCCTGACATGTTTCTGGGCAGTAGGTGGCCCCCCTTCAAAATTTCTTTAGAAATGTTTCTAGAAACTTGGGAGACATTATATTAAGACCCTTCTAGTGCACATATTAAAGACATTTTTTTATATTATGTATGGTTTTGCTGTGCAGCTTTTAAGATGAGTTTGTTTCTGCCATTTTACTGCCAAATGATTCTACCCTAAAGAATCTTCAGATGATTCAATTGTTTTCTGCAGTTTGAAGCTTCTGATGACTTCCTTTCACATTTTCATATGTTCCTTAGCTAATTTGTGCTTCTTTTCCTTCTCACAGTTTCTTTAGCTAATTTTTCTCTTTTCATTCAACAGAAAAAAGCATCCCCACTTTGCTGTTTCTGCGAAACAGCTTTTTCTAGTTGAATTTACAGTTGTATTTAAAGTTGCAATAACAGAAAATATATCCAAATCCTTCAACATTTTAGATCATAAAAGTTAACTGGATATTTACTTTGACCAGTAAATAGTTATTTTGATTGTGCCATAAATCTTAACTAGCTTATAACTTGTTCCCATGAGTTGTGGATCCTGCAGCTGGTTTATACCACTGAATCAGATCTGTGTGTTTCTCTCTGCAGTAACTGCTGTGGATCCTGCAACAGTTATAAAGACTCTAAACATCTGGATAAAATATATTTTCCCCGCTGATAACATGGGCTTTTAAATCCACACAGTACACACTCTAAAGAAAAGTGATGCCAGGAGGGCACCAACTTATTCTGAGTAAAACATAAACAAACACAGGTTCTCTAGCGCCACCTGGTGTCTATCTGTACATGAGAGCTTTAGTTGCAAACCTTTTCCTGGTAAGAAGACAGTAGGGACTTTCCCAATGGGTGGCTACTCCCTCGGCCTGCCAACTTCTCTCTCCATTTGTGCGTGCCCGCTCAGGGTCGGCCATGTTAGGTCACATCTGAAACCAATTATCATATTACGAGTGTGATTGTCTTATAATGCTCTCCACAGCGAATGAGGATCTGTTTCCCACTCAAGCAGCAGGTGCAGCACCAAATTGTGGTTGGAATGGAGGACGGGATGTAACTTCTTTATAAGCATTGCACACATTCACTGAGTAAAGAAACACCTTATGGACAAATATTATTCCAAATAGTGGATAGTAATAATTTTGTTAAAGGTGTAATTGTTTTGACAAGTTATCTCACCATTTGTTCTGTTTGCTAAAAATAAAGTCAAAACTGAAAACTCTTGACTATGTGAGCTTATTAAATATTTTCTTTGGTCTTTTCAAGTAGACCTGTAGTTTAGGTCCATGCAGAGTCGTAGCTAAACTTTAAAATCTCCTGTGGTCCACTGACACATTTTTTTCAAAGAACCCAAATATTTATAGATGTGCCGTATATATAGTATGTATGTGTGTATGCATAAATAAAAAAACCTTCTCTAATGTAATGTAATGCATTGAAACATTAGCTTTTATCAAAAACAAATATCCTTGAAGTCTGTACAACTTCTACATATTATTTAAATTAACAAATGCTGCTGTGCAGAGTAAATCATTTCTAATCGAGACAATAAAAATAGGTTCAAAATTGAGCTATTTTTTATATTGTCATTGCTTCTAAATTCATCATTTTCATGATCTTCATTTCATAAAGTTAATTGTTGCTTCATTAGTAAATAACTGGATGTACAGTGATGCTCTGTTAGATTCTTTTGTCTCCAACAATTAAAGGATCCAAAGATTGGTCCTTTTTCTCTCCTCTCTGTCTCTTAGATCAGCTGTGATCACCTCTGGTTGGTCAGCTGGTCAGAACGCTGATGAGAAGAGGTGGACAGGGGGGTGGATGGAGGGGACCTGTTTATGGGGCTTTTTAAGAAAGACGAGTCCCACAAAGTGTCCACCTCAAAGTTAGTGTTGGACAGATCGTCTTATGAGGCCATGGTGAGCAATTAGAGAGCAGAGAATCTAATATTCTTATTATAGAGTTTTATTGGATTCAATGTTATGGCTAAGTGTGATCATAAATTAAATTGCTTTGAATTTTTTATCTTCCTGATTTCTAAATCATCATAGTAAATTATAGGTTAACCAGGTTAATCTAACTCTCACACCCTACAAATGGAGCTGCTGCAACCTGCACAGCTCCTTTAACTCAGCTTACTTATGATGTTGAGCTTAGCCACAAGGGGGCAGCAGATGATCAGTCTCCCTACTCCAAAGGGGAAGAATCCCCTGCTCTCCAGAAAAAAAGCATCTGGATCATCGCTGTCTGCCGTTGGCGTGGGAGGACGAAGTAGAGAGCTTACAGTGGCCGTTTCTCAATATGCGTTCTTGAGCGTTCTCGTGTGCTCGTGTACTCGTGACACGTCATCAGCCTCAGCCCGAGTACCGTTCCAATTCTCAAGAACGCCAGATCGAGAACGCATCAAATCCCCGGATGTTGTTCTCATCCCGCCCTCTTTATCGAGCATGCATCAGAGCAGACTTGTGCATTCTTCAGACTGACCGCTTCCCCAGAATGCCCCGCGGCCACAGCTTGATTCCAGACAGCGCTCACAGTGTTAAGTTAAACATTCCCTTTTCTGCTGCTGTTGTTCTTCTGAAATCGTTTGAGGCGATAATATTATACATTTAAGCCTCCCTGTGTGGTCTGTTTACAGAGTTAGTGCGAAATTTTAAAAAAAGTCCGACGTTGAGCGGACCAGAGTGACCAGCAGACCTCCGAGGGTAACCGCAGCCAGGGCTAAATTTACCCCGTCTGTAGTGCACTTCTCTCGGTCTAGTTATGTGTGAACTACCGCTCGTTCTGATGGCGGTTTTTTGCGGTTGGGTAATTTTTTTTAATGTTTTTTAAGCTTTAAAAATTAAAAATATTGTTTTCAAAATGTTTTGTGTAGGGAATAAATAGTTTTGACTGTTAAAGAAATGCTAAACAACGTTGCCTGTGATGACGTCACGAGTACACTTATGCTCCAATACACATACGTGCTTGCGTGCTCGCGTTCTCGTCAAGTCCGATCTTCCTGCGTTCTCGCCAAGAACGGACTTGACGAGAAAGCGAGTACATACTCGCGTTCTCGTGAATTGAGAAACGCCCAGTGAGAAGCAGAATTGTTGTTCTGTTACCGAATTAATCAGAGAAGATTTTCATTTCTGTGATCGAGCTTGGATTTATTTGAGTTTTGTGTGACCGATATCCTGGTGAGTTTCCAAGTTTCTTACACTGTGTTAGCATGCTAATTGAGTTAGCAAAGTGTGGAATGTTACTAAAGGAGTTCTTTATTTTATTAAAAAACCAGTCGGGATAGATTTAAAGGGAGTTAAATGAACAAAGTTAAAATATGTGATGGTTTAGGTGCATTTTATTTAACTTGTGCTGTAGATGTAGAATTTTAGGATTGTTGGTTTAACCACTGTATTGTTATACTGAGGGGAAATGTTTTTGATATGTGGTTATTGCGTGAGTAAGTGAGGTTCCTATGAGTTGAATGCAGTAAAAGGGTATCTGTGAAACTAGTCATTAACAATGATGTAATAAATGCAAATTTGTGTAGAGTTAGAGAGTAATTTTCCTGCACATCTGTGCAGGCAGTTTTTTTTTCCTTTTGGAGATTTCAGCAGAGGCGAGTCCGTACCTTCCTGCTGCCATCTGTTTCATTGGTTCCCACTTGGCTGGATCTTCTACTGGTCTGCACCGTCTCCCTTCGTATTGCCTGTTCTGGACCATTTTCCATTCATGGACACTTATTGAGAGGGTGGTAGGATTGAGTGCACTCAGTATTTTTATTTTATTTTTGGACATTGAACTTTTTATGCCTGAGATCTCAGAGTGTTTTTTTCCAAGTCCTTCAGGGGTTCTAACTGTTGTATATAAGAAGGAAGGACTTGATGGACTTTTATTTTTCTGATGTTAATGTGTGACTAAATTCAATACACCTTATTTATTTCCGCTAATCTGTTGTCCAGTGTGTTATTTGGGGTGGATATCTGAGCCTTTGTACAGGTGAAAAAACCAACATCCTCCTCACTGGACCTAGACTGGATTCTCCTTCTGGGTTATAGGTACTACATATTTGTATTACTAATAATAGTAATAAAGGAGGGTTTACAATAGGTTTTTTTTGTTTTCCTTTTTTCAGGACTTTGTTACTGTAAGCTGTAATCAGCTGTCTCCCTGTTGCAGTTGATCCTGTTGCATCAATAGATTCTGATTAAATCTCCACTTTCAGGTAGATCTGGTAATAAATTCAATGGTTCTTATAAAATCAGTGTTAAGAACACCCACATACTTTTAACTTGCAATGCTCATAAATGATTGACCCAGAAACGCTTTTTTTCACATAAACTGTTTTTAATCAGTAATGCAATGCAGTATTAGTGATCAACACATGAAGCTTATTAAATCGAGTAAAGAAAAACACCAAGAAAGCTGACATCATTCGGTTAAACATGTTACAGTCGGTTAAAGTAAAGAACCACAAGGTTTCTGTTTCAACAGGAGTAAAGCATGATAAGGATCACTCATAGAAACTATACAGGACATGTAATCCAAACCATGTTATATAATTTCCTCTTATTTACTAAAGAGGGAAGCAGATCTGGCAAATTTGGGTCAAGGAATGGCTGTTAAACTGTAGATAAATCCCTAAATTAACCTTCAAAATAAATACTGCTACATGTTTATTTAAATTTTGACTGATAAACCTTTGCCCTTAAATCTTAGAACAAATAAAATTTAACTCCTCTCCCCCGTTTCTTTGGAACCACTTATGTTGTCCACCAGTGTCCATGGCTGCAGAAACGTTGCAGTCATCAATCTCTCCACCTGAGTTCTGGGTTCTGCTAGTGACCCCCTCAGGACAAACCCAGACCCAGAACTTCTTAGTGCAGTTATAGCGCAGTGCTAACCAGACAAAAGGAGTCGATGCCTTCTTGGCTTTCTCTTGGACCAATATCTGCTCTTCAAGGGTTTTGATGGTGACCAGATCATGGTAGTGTTCCCTGCAGTAGGATAAGGCATCCTCCCAGTTCATCTTTTCTTTGACCAGGATCAGATTATCTGTCAGTGAAACAGAACAATATATATATTTTTATTTAATCCAAAACCCATGTATTGAACCAGAGTTTTAATTTAAAATAGAAGAGCATAGTTGGTACAATTACTATGGGTTACAGGTAGGGAACCATAGGTACAGTTTGAACAGTCTCTCTAAACCAATAAGATATTTTAAACACATTATTTTGTCCTGTGACTCTTGCTGCAAAGCAGGAGGATTTACATGGCAAAGTCATAATTTAGTGAAAGATACATGAAAGCATTGATTTATTCTGCTTTTTTCAAGGTTCTTGTGGTAAAATGGTGCATAAAAGCAGCTTTGTATATAAACTGAGTTGTTTGAGGATCATTTAAACATCACTGCCTTCCTTGAACATTTGGCATCTATAGTAGTGATGATTGTGGCTAAATTGGTCCATCTCAATATTTATGCAAGACATTAACAAGTCATTGTTGCTTATGGTATAGATGACGTTCAAATGCATGAATCCTTTGTTTGAGCTGCTGGGTGAATGTGGCTCTTTGGTAAAAGGCTGGTCACTACAGAGATATTATGAGTTTATTATTAACCAATTAAACTCACCATCAAAACAGATGAAGGGTTTTCTGATGGAACAGTCCTCATTCTTCCATCTGCCTCCATCATCAAACACAGTCATGGCACATTGACCACTGTTGTAGTGCTCATCATCAAACTGAAGGTTCCAGTGTCTGAAAGAAAAGCTGCTTCCATCTGACCACCTCCAGGTGTCTCTGAACAGACCAATATACACTGCTTCATTTTTATCTAAAGGTAGAACATCCTTCGCTTCTCCATCCTGTAGCTGCTTCATTCCACTGATCAGGTCTGTGTGATTCTCTCTGCAGTAACTCTGAGCTTCCAGCCAGGTCTTCTTTTCTTTAAATAGGTAGAATTTCTCTGATGTTTTACTTTCTGTAAAGAGTTAAAAATACTCAAGTGAAAATCTATGAATCAACACAAAATGATTTAGTTTGTCAAAGTCAACAATGCTGTCTGAGAAAACCACACAATAAAATCCCCCCAGTTGTAAAATAATCATTACACCATTTTCATACTTTATATTATTTCTGAACGAGCTATAAAATACATTTTAAAAAATCAGAGTAAATATTTTTTATGCTCACCATCATAGCAAATGAAATAAAGAGACCTTTTACAAGGTACGTCTTCCCATTTCAGATGTTGTCGGATCGCCCCACAGTTCTCATATGTATAATCATTTGGTTCTCCTTGGCCCCAGTTTGTCTCACTTTCATTGAACTCCACTCCAAGCAGAGACCAGTACCATGTTCTGTCACCATCTGTCTGATCATACAGACCAATCCAAGCTTCATTCATGTTTCCTGCTGAGTTACTGAGGAGTCTCTTCATGTCTGCCATGCTAGACACTGTGGCCAGGTCAGTGTGTTTCTCTCTGCAGTACTGCTGAGCTTCAGTCCAGGTCTTTCCCACATTAATGTAGTGATACTCATAGAGCTGACAGACCATCAAACTGGGCTGAGCTGAAAACATAATAGTACCCACAGGATTAATAAGCAACTATAACAGTCTGTGATGATAGTGGTATACTTTTTTTCTACTGCAGTTTTTATTCAAAGTCTCTTACCGAACAAAATAACCAGAAATAAATCCCACTGCATTTTTCCTCTCATGCATGAATTTATTTTGTTGGTGTTTTTGGTTCAAATTGTGTTGTTTTCTGTTGGGATAATTGTAGCATTTTAGTTTTTGGAATAAACAAAGAGTAATTCATTTATAGCCCGATGAATCTCCCTATATATCTAATAAACATTAAAAAGGTACATATAAATACGAAAAAAAAATCAGGAACGCTTTATATCATATGGAAATGCTCTAAATCAAACATTTCTCCACATAACTTAACTCTAAATATAAAAAGGAGAAACTTACCTCTGGATTTGCTCACTGGGATTTTAAAGCTGTTTTATCTTGATGTTCTGTTGAAGGCAGCTCTCAGTAAATGTTCAGTCCTGTTTCAAACAGATCAGTTTTTCTGCCTCAATAACTGCATCTGAATATTCATGGCTAAAAACAGCATGGCGTGCAGCTATGAGGTTCATTTGCATCAATGACCTGGCATGGATCATGATGTAATAGAAGAACGTGGGAGGAGGAATGAGAACAGAATCCACATCTGAGACCTTTATATATTTTAATTTATCAATAATATTTAATAATAATGCCTTTTATATGTCATTTACTGCAATTAAACATCTGTTAAGCAGGTGGTTTCAGTGATGTCACCAATAAATGCATTCATCCATATTTTTTCAATATCTGCTTTCACCTTGTCTGATTTTGGGGACGTGGACCAATGAGGATCCACAGCAGGCAGATAAATCCTGGACGGGTCAGCAGTTCATCACAGATCTTTCACTCACACACTCTAGGATACTTTAGGATTATCTAAACTAAGCAGCTCACCTAATTCTCACGTCCCAATTTTGCCTATCTGTCTTTCAAGATGGATAAACAGACAATCAGGCTCCAAAAAGATTTCTTTTGAAAGCAGAAAATGTTGTTGTAATAGTTCAGCCACATAGAAATGTCTTAGCTTCTTCTTCTACAAATATATTTTCATTCTGCTGGGATGGTGGTCCTTCCTCTGCAGCTGATCACTGACTGACCACTCAGCACAGCTGGAGAAGATGTGACCACAGCTGGTTTCTACAATCAGCTCCAACTGAAACTGTCTTCAATCTATTGATCAGGATGATTCTGTTTAACTCTGCTGCTAATAAAACTCTAACTGTCTTCAGGAGAAAGTATTTGGATTTTATTTTTCATCATGAAAAACAGCAAAAGTAGAGGAAGTTGAGAAACTGAATGAGTTCTGTACTTTCAGCTGCTCTGTTAAACCCTGGAGAAAATATTTGTATTTCAGTTGGAATTTGAATGAAACATGCAAACTCACCATGAATAAAATATTTGATGGAGTCAAACATGCAGACTTTCAATAAAAAAATTAGAGGTACAAACAACTTCTAAAATATCTCAGTGATGCGATTTCACCAGAGGAAAAGTTTGTGTCTACAAACAAGATTTATATCTAAACTCAATAAAAAAGGAATAAATTCAGACTGAAAATGTAATTGCAAATAGTTACTATTGATAGCCTCTATTTTTTGTTTTGTTTTATACACTACAGCTAAATTGATGTATATATATTTTTTATTATACCTGACCTACGTCATCTTAAGAGCTGTTTGTTATCTCCTGATAAACTGAGGAGTTCCATATAGAGACATTTGCATCCTCCTTCCTGCTGATAACAGACCTTATTCTCATCTGCAGCTCATGGGAATCTACCAGTGAGATGATTTCCTGATATTCATAAACTTTAAGTGCAACACACAGATGTCAACATTTGAATTGTAAAACATTAAAGTAAACAAACCTACTTTTACTCTATGAGTTTTTTTTTTTTTTTAAGTAAACAACATCTCCACATTAGAATCAATGAAATTTCACTTTATCTGTTAAAATACAGAAATATAACTCAATACGGTTAACAAACAATATGGTGTAAAATTCTGATTTGTTCCAAATAACTTCAAAATACAGAATAAATGAAGCTTTTTGTTCTGAATGTTCTTCAGAGAATATTGATCATTGATTTACTAATATTATTCAATAACAGAATAATCAAATCTATAAAAAAGTAAAGAAATAACTTTTTTTTTTTTTTACCAAATTAGGAAGCTATTCTTGTAAATCAGATGTTATTGTTTAAGTTTAAATATAGGAAGGGTGAATTTAAGACAATCAGGGGAACTTTTCTTGCAAACAAAACTTTAAAATTTGCAATTCAAAAATACCTGAAGAAACTTTAAACATAAGTAACAATTTACCTCTCAGTTTTCTTCATCTGCCAGAGAGATATAATACTTACCAGCTGGTAAATATTGTTACTACAGAAACATAGAGTCACCAACACTGAGGAACCTCTGCTGCAGGATTATCTTAGTCCAACAAGATTAACATTTTTATGATATATGTAGCTAATAGCTGACTACTATAATCTATAATACTATAATAATCTGACTATTTTAGATACTTCATAGTACAGAGATGCTATTTCCAAAATGCTCGTTCCTCCCTGATTATAAGAAAAGTAGATTAAAGAAACAATCGGCAGGCATTAGGGTGAAGACAATGTGTCCTCTTGTTAAGCAGCAGAATACAATTTCACACTTTTATTTCAGATACAGAAATCTAGTGTCGGCGTTACATAATAACGGAGTTACTTTACTTATAATTAAAAGCAACTTTTCATCTCTGCTCAAAGAAGAGAGACTTTTGCTGCAGCAAAGAGCAGAGAGCTAAGATGAAGATATGTGACTCTGATTGGCTGATGAACTGTAATGTGGGCGGGTGTTCAGCATGTGATGAACAAAGAAGAAGAGCAGAGAAGATGGAGCTGAGCCACTGATTTAATGACATTGTTCCTAATTGTTCTTTTATTATAAACCTAAAAAAATAATCACATCTACATGATTATTTTGCAACTCATGTGTGCCTCCACACGCCAACATTGTTTAGATTAGTATTCAATGTTTTCAGATATGTACTCCTCTTAATTAACTCTTCTTATTAAGCAGTATCAAAGTTCTTTTTTATAATTGAATTTACAGTTGTATTTAAAGTTGCAATAACAGAAAATATATCCAAATCCTTCAACATTTTAGATCATAAAAGTTAACTGGATATTTACTTTGACCAGTAAATCATTACTTTGATTGTGCAGTAAATCTTAACTAGCTTATAACTTGTTCCCATGAGTTGTGGATCCTGCAGCTGGTTTATACCACTGAATCAGATCTGTGTGTTTCTCTCTGCAGTAACTGCTGTGGATCCTGCAACAGTTATAAAGACTCTAAACATTTGGATAAAATATATTTTCCATGCTGATAACATGGGCTTTTAAATCCACACAGTACACACTCTAAAGATAAGTGATGTCAGGAGGGCACCAACTTGTTTTGAGTAAAAAAAATAAACAAACACAGGTTCTCTAGCGCCACCTGGTGTCTCTCTGTACATGAGAGCTGTAGTTGCAAACCTTTTCCAGGTAAGAAGACAGGAAGGGACTTTCTCAATGGGCGGTTACTCCCTCACCCTGCGAACTTCTCTCTCAGTTTGCCTGCTGAGGGTCGGCCATATTAAGTCACATCTGAAACCAATTATCATATTACGAGTGTGATTGTCTTATAATGCTCTCCACAGCGAATGAGGATCTGTTTTCCACTCAAGCAGCAGGTGCAGCACCAAATTGTGGTTGGCACAATTTGGTGTTACTGTTAATGTGTGACTAAATTCAATACACCTTATTTATTTCCGCTAATCTGTTGTCCAGTGTGTTATTTGGGGTGGATATCTGAGCCTTTGTACAGGTGAAAAAACCAACATCCTCCTCACTGGACCTAGACTGGATTCTCCTTCTGGGTTATAGGTACTACATATATGTATTACTAATAATAGTAATAAAGGAGGGTTTACAATAGGTATTTTTTTCTGTTTTCCTTTTTTCAGGACTTTGTTACTATAAGATGTAATCAGCTGTCTCCCTGTTGCAGTTGATCCTGTTGCATCAATAGATTCTGATTAAATCTCCACTTTCAGGTAGATCTGGTAATAAATTCAATGGTTCTTATAAAATCAGTGTTAAGAACACCCACATACTTTTAACTTGCAATGCTCATAAATGATTGACCCAGAAATGCTTTTTTTCACATAAACTGTTTTTAATCAGTAATGCAATGCAGTATTAGTGATCAACACATGAAGCTTATTAAATCGAGTAAAGAAAAACACCAAGAAAGCTGACATCATTCGGTTAAACATGTTACAGTCGGATAAAGTAAAGAACCACAAGGTTTCTGTTTCAACAGGAGTAAAGCATGATAAGGATCACTCATAGAAACTATACAGGACATGTAATCTAAACCATGTTATATAATTTCCTCTTATTTACTAAAGAGGGAAGCAGATCTGGCAAATTTGGGTCAAGGAATGGCTGTTAAACTGTAGATAAATCCCTAAATTAACCTTCAAAATAAAGACTGCTACACGTTTATTTAAATTTTGACTGATAAACCTTTGCCCTTAAATCTTAGAACAAATAAAATTTAACTCCTCTCCCCCGTTTCTTTGGAACCACTTATGTTGTCCACCAGTGTCCATGGCTGCAGAAACGTTGCAGTCATCAATCTCTCCACCTGAGTTCTGGGTTCTGCTAGTGACCCCCTCAGGAGAAACCCAGATCCAGAACTTCTTAGTGCAGTTATAGCGCAGTGCTAACCAGACAAAAGGAGTCGATGCCTTCTCGGCTTTCTCTTGGACCAATATCTGCTCTTCAAGGGTTTTGATGGTGACCAGATCATGGTAGTGTTCCCTGCAGTAGGATAAGGCATCCTCCCAGTTCATCTTTTCTTTGACCAGGATCAGATTATCTGTCAGTGAAACAGAACAATATATATATTTTTATTAAATCCAAAACCCATGTATTGAACCAGAGTTTTAATTTAAAATAGAAGAGCAGAGTTGGTACAATTACTATGGGTTACAGGTACACTGTAAAAAAAAAACGGCCTAATTTTACGGTAAAAAACTGGCAGCTGAGTTGCCAGAAGTTTACCGTCTTTATACGGTAAAATTCTGGCAACCAAAACTGCCAGTTTTTTACCGTATTTCTAAAATACGGTAAAATTCTGGCAACCAAAGCTGCCAGTTTTTTACCGTATTTCTAAAATACGGTAAAATTCTGGCAACCACAGCTGCCAGTTTTTTACCGTATTTGCTAAATGCAGGATTTTACCGTATTTTTAATATACGGTAAAATTCTGGCAACCACAGCTGCCAGTTTTTTACCGTATTTGCTAAATGCAGGATTTTACCGTATTTTTAAAATACGGTAAAATTCTGGCAACCACAGCTGCCAGTTTTTTACCGTATTTGCCAAATGCAGGATTTTACCGTATTTTTAAAATACG